AAATTTGACAATTTGCACTCACAGTAATGGCGGACCGGTGCCACTTTCCGATTACGCATGTCGTATCCCTAGGTTGCCAGATCAATGCGCAAAACGAAAGTGAGCTCGTAAATAAATCACGACCAACTCTGGAAATGTGATTATATTCGTTTTGATAGCATCATCGATCATAGTCTCGATCATAATTTGATTTTTATTCATTATCATTATTTATAGTATATAGTATATTGAGTATACAAAAAAAAGTATTGAGTGTAGAAAGTGAAAAGGACTATTATTCTGACTTAGATACAGTAAAAAATAAAATAAGTTAATGTACTAACCAATCGAATAATCAAAATTTATAAATCTTTTAATGAGTTTCAATTTTTTTTTTATTTACCAAATTCAAAATTTAACATCTGCTAATGTTTTTTTTTACTTTTACGTTATTGACAGTGGGATCTATTCTGTAACAATTCCTTTATGTTTAACGGCCTTTAAAAGTATATTTGTATTCGTTAATTTACTTCTGTCATTATTTAAACAGATTTCTTTAAGATAGTCCTCTAATGTATTTTAAAGATCCGTTTAAATAATGACAGAAGTAAAGAAGAAAATATTTTTAAAGGCCGTTAAATATAAAGGAATTGTTACAGAATAGACCCCAATATGCCTGACAACAGAAACATGTGTTTCAACACGACCAAGTTGCGAATTTAGTCCCAATCATCGACAGGTCGTGGACTGGTCGTCGATTATCAGTCGTCGACAATAAGTTGTGGACTGGTTTGTGTATGGTTCCAAGATTGTTGTTGGAACAAACCTTATGACTACAGACAATCTGCGCCTGGTGACAGGCATTCTGACTGGTCATTGTCAAGTACGGAAGCATCTCCTTATCATGGGGCTGTCAGAATCCGCACTCTGCAGGGGGCGCGAACAAGAAGATGAGACCATGGAGAATATTCTCTACGATTGCTCTCATTTGTTAGAAGATTTGTGTTTGGCGAGTATTGGCTATCACCGGCCGATATAAGAGAAACACCTCTTAGCAACGTTGTCAACTACAATAAATCTGTAGGCTGGCTCACGAGCTAAGAGTTGCCTGTCAGCTTAGGAGGATGCATAATGGGCCCAGTGAGGCCTGAGTGCCGTGGGATAATCCACCCTCCAGTCTCCACACGTTACAGATATACCACTACCATGCCCTTGTCGGTGCTCGTTTTAATTATGCACGTGTATTTTTAAACTTTTTTATGTAGACGTGTTAATATATTGTAAGCGCCTATCAATTAATCTTTAGACCTGATGATGGTCTTATGCCAAAACCGACTGTTATTTTATTCAATAACATTTATTTATGTAGGACTGATTTCGAGTCATTTTCTTACCTGATATGACCACATTAGAGCAGTTAAGTGCCTTTTTTTCAGCGTTTTTTTACTTGTTTAATAAAATCTGTTACGGGCTAAAAGTACCTTACTGAGCAATATATTTAAAATTTATATTAGTTACCTTTTTTATGATGATATTTTCAATCATATAAATATTGAAATTGAATTAATTCCATACCTCAATTTAATAAAATATATTTGTATAACTATAAATTTTTTATGCTATTTTTCGTGAAGAAGCCAATGAGTTTGGCTGGTTGGTTCCCTTATATTTAATTTCTAAAATAAAAGAAAATAATTAGAAATATTCAAATATTGTAAACAAACAAATATAACCTTGCCTAAGAATTGTCATATTCTTCCTCATATTCTTCTTTTAATTTCTACTTTGTCATTAATTCTTAAAACAGTAATTTCTCTTAAATCAATTAAAAGAAGAAAACAAGATACCAATTAAAACAATTTATTCGTAAAACTTCAAATATTATCAAAAAAAGTTGTTGCCTTTTTTTGCATTGAGCACATTTTCTGAGAAAGAAGCGTCCCCGCATTTTGCGGATTTTCTTCGAAAAACCTCATATTTAGTGAACTAAAAGATTTTGTGTTAATACTAAACAATAATCTCATCATTGTGGATAAAAGTTCCGAATATTTAGAGTTTTTCACCTTTTTTTTTATATTAACTTCTATTGAAGCCCCTTTATGGCCACCCATCATCCTATGTCAGTTTTTAAGGAATTACCCCTATAAAAAAAAGAATATTATTAAACTTTTTATCCTCCTAATTTTGGCAATATATTTTTAGGCCTCTTATGCAGACTTTCACTCTTATGCTGATTTTAAATCTCATTTCCATTCAAATTTCAATCTCAAGTTTCATTTTTGATTTTACTATATCTAGTCTGGAACCCGGAGGTTCCTAGACACCGTATTACTTACAGACACCAAATAAAGCTAGTGGAGGAATCCAACCAGTCCATCTCTTTGACTTTAAAACAACTGGAGACTCAACTCATGGTTAACAGCCAGAAGACCTGGAAAAACAGCTAAGAATAATATTTAAATACCAATCTTATTTATACCTAATCATTTTTTTTTTATGCATTTGTCTTTTCACCCGATTGGTGACGTTCATATACTATTTGCTTTGATTTTATAAAATTTATTGTACCTATTAATCTAATTTTATTAATATCATTTATTGACTATTTATTTCTAGAAATAAACTACATCTTAACGTAGGTTGTTACAGCAATTACTAAATTTAATTCATTTCTTTACATGGTTACCAAAGAGAAGCTTTTCAAGCCTTTAAATCTTCAGATTATCTTCGATTTGTGATTGCTTTTCAAACTACCTAAAATCATTCATATTTATATAAAATAATAATTTATATAAGTACTCACTTGTCTATAATCCAGTTGTGCTTATTTATTTAAAACCATAAAATATATAGGTATCTACTTTCATCACTTAATAGAAAATATTCCGCACTATTTTTGAATTCTTAAGAGAACCCGAATCTGTTTTAAAAGCAACCAAAAACTGTTTTTAATCCATTACAAACCAGAAATCGCGTCTTCCGCATATTTTGCCCAACCCTGTATAATTAAATGAATTACCTTACAGATTTGGCATAGAAGTTCATACTATAGAACAAATACTATCAAATTACAGTTGAGTTTGGTACCTATTTGAATAAATTATATCGAATTAACAGATATTCCTCACTTTATAATGAACTTTCTATCTTATCATTATCAATAACCTACCTAAATACATTTTTATCTATTGATATTTTAAATTTTGAAAAAATATAAAATTATTTTGTACTATTTCCATTAAAACAAATGAAAGAATAATTTATAATCAGTAAGAATAACTCAAAATATAATATTGTGTTTTGTTGTGCAACATTTGTATTTTTTTGTATACAGCTAATATTCTCCCAATTCTTGACTCATTCTTGATAGAGGAGTGAAAGTGATGTGAGTTCTTTTTTTTTTTTCAGATCTCATCCTTTAAATGCGAGCGTAATAATAAATAATGGAGAATATTAATATTTTTTCTGAAACATTCAAACAGATTATTAGTGAAGAGGTCAAAAGTGTGCAATTGGACGCCCGTGAAAAAGATGAAGGTAAGATTATAACATTTTTTTCTTGTCTATCTACAAATCAAAAGTTTAAACAGTTTTATTTTATTTATTAGAGATTTATTAAAGATAAATGAAATATTAATTTTTGCAAAAAAATAAACAACTGGCGACGCGGGAAATAATTTCGGGCATGCGAGGTAGGAATAAATATTCGTATAATTTTATTGGTTAGAAAAATGCATTTTATTGGTTATACGTAAACCGCAAGTTGTACAAAGTCGATTAAATGGGAAAAAAGTTTCATATTTTGATAGGTAATTTAATGGTCCATAAAAGTTCTAGATTTTCCGGTTATTTCCGGAGGTATTCAATAAAATCTGACAAATCTAATTTTCGTTTTATGAGTCTAGCATTATTGTTATTAAATTATTGTAAAATTTTTGTTATAAATCAAGTTCCCTATATCCTGTCATGTAAAAAATGTTCATTTCGACGTTTCGTATTTCAAAGATCACCTTCAAGTTAACTTTTTTAAATAGGAACGGAACTAGATTTTTAACTAACTAAGTTATAATTGACCATTTTACTTCATTTTATAAAAAAGCTAGAACTTTTATGGGCCATTATACAGTGTGTGTCTTAAAGTTGGATCCATATGGGAACTTTTTTTAATATTATGATTGGAAAAAACGTCGTAGGGCAATCCCTCTGCTTATTTAACAACTTAAAATAACCAATATCAAAGTTAGCTGCTGACATTAGTTATCTGTCAAATTCGGATTTTTTTTTTGAATAATCGTTTAAAAATAACTTTTTTTGAAATATGAAAAATTTATCAGAAAAACTTGTTTCTAATGACCTGTTACGTCAACATACCGATTTTGAACAAGACATTTCTACTTTAAGACAATTTAAGTTTTAAGTTTTTACACACTCGTAACTGACAATTTTGCATTCATTAAAAAAAGCTTTAAAGGGACGAGAATCGACTGGAATGTTTTTGTATGTATGTCGATGCGTAGTGATTCTTCTATTCATGATTTGATTTTTTCTAGGCTGTTACATTTTTGTATTTACTTGAATTTTTCTGCCGTACTAAGTTAAGTTTTAAAATAAATATCGAATAAAGATAATATGTGAAATAAATTAGAAATGTGAAATATAAATTATGCTTGAGTATCAATAAATTATAAATACTCTGTTTTAAATAAATAAACAATTTTTTAAAATAAAAACGCAGGAAAGAAACACAAAATGTATCAATTGTCGGATGATGCATCTTCTGCTATAATTTCTTTAATTTCTTCTGATATGAAAAAAAAAATCGCTCCTTTATTTCTTAGACAATAAAGTTTCTTTCTTGGAAAATAAAGTCTCTTCCGATATATATTCTGTAAAAACCGAAATTTCTTCAGACTTGGCAAGCAAAATGTCCTCTATGGAGAATACATTTTCGTCTAATATTTCTTCCTTGGAAGAAAAGGTGTCTTCTGAAATGTCTTCTATAGAAATTAAAGTCTCTTCTGTTATCTTTTCTATAAGAAACTAAATTTCTTCCGTTGAGAAAAAAATAAAAGAGATGGAGAAGAAGATAGAAGAAATAGAGAAACCAGAACTGCAGCATTTCACCCACAGTCGGATGGAATGGTAGAGCGAATAATTAAGATCATTAACAAATACCTGTTAAAAGTTGTTCCCAACCATCAGTGAGATTGGGATCAGTATTTTTCGCAATGGCATATAAATTCGGTTTTAACGAATCAACAGGCCAAACACTAGCAAAAGTCTTGTTTGAACGTCAGCTGTGACTACCGTGTGACCTCGAGTTTGGATGCCGACCTGTAGAAGACGTATTCGGAGAAGATTATGTGATCCAGCTGGACGATACCCAGTCACAGAAGGATGTTTCAAGGAAGGCGACAAAGTCTGGCGCAATAACCCAAAAAGACAGAAGGGCTATTCTCCAAAGCTCCTGAAGACTTGGCATTAGAAAAAAAAAATGTTGTCATTTACCGTATAAGCAAGATCCGGAACGGTATACCGAAGTTAGTGCACTAAAAACGGCTGAAGAAGAAGTAAACCAGCTCCAAGAAACATTTGATCTTGTCTTTAAAGAATTTTGGGTGCATATGGAAGTACCGGAAAACTTACATGAGCAACAACAAAATCTGCTCACAGTTTCTAAAGGCTCAAAAGAGGGTTCAGTTGCAGATAAAACCATTTAGTTTTAGTTCCAGGAGGAACTATCTCTTAAGGAGGGGACAATGTCGTACAACCAGTCCGACTCTCTTCATTGTTGACCTTCACCGCTACCTTTAGTGCTGTCATTGGCAATCGAGAATCGACCGGAAGATTTTATTTTTTCTAGGTGTCCCATTAGTCTGTAATTGCTTGATAAATCAATTTGTGTTACATATACACAAGCAAGTTTCAAATAAGAGTTATATGGATTTTAAAAAGGCATATTAAAAAATATTCTTGGGTATACAAGATGTTACGCTTTTGCCTGACAAATAAAAATGTATATTTTTTAAATGGAACACCCTGTATTTTATTTCATTTTTAGAATGGTCTAGTAATACTGTATTCAGGTTTAAAATATTTTTGAAAAATATTACATGATAGCCAAGCAATTAATTATTTTGTGAAATTTCAGAATTATGAAGACCCCAAATTAAATTATTATAATTTAAGTAGGTTAGCAAAGATTTCAAAATCGTTTTAAATACAGACTACTAAGCCAACGAATAGTGGTGATATAGTTGCTTTATTTTATACAGAATGTCTTGAAACATTTCTTAAATATGTCTAATTTACTCAATTTTTCAAAGAGAATTTTTATATCCCTTATAAAACCTATACAACGATAGCAATAGCTTAGTCAATTACCTAGGGTGTCCCATCAGTGCTATTTTATTATTGGAGATACGAAGAAATTTTTAATACAAAAGTTGTAGGACGATATTTTACAATTATTCTTAAATGAGGGGCGAACCCAACTTATACTTTTTTTAGACAAAACAATCTGGGTAAGAGATTTGGTTGTTTTCACATTGTTAAACAATTTTATTTGAAAGAGTAAAACCAAATTTGGTAGATTTTCACTCTTTTATTTTAAAAATAAAAATTTTTAAAAAAACACTAACATGACATATGTTTCGAAGTACAACCTCTTTTTCAAATGTGACTATTTACAATTCGGTATCCAATATATATATACGAAATAATTTAACAAAACAAAGTACTTAAGAAAACATCAATAACATTACAAAATAAACTAACAATTTAAAGTAAATAAGGGTACTTAGGTAATTATAATATCTATCAGATAACAATAAGATAGGCCATTACCGGGATTATCTCACAGAAAACTGGGAAAGAGATTTAATAAGGGTGAATTATTATTATCTAATTGATCATTTAGTAAGTTATCTAAATTTTTAAATCTATTTATTTCAAGTGTTTCTAAATGGTTTAATTTAAGGCTCTTATTTTCTACATGTAAAATTTCAAAGTTGTCTGTAAAAGAATGATTTTCAGCTAAAATATGATTTGAGTAAGTAGAATTATTTTTGTTTTTTGTATAGCTATTATAATGTTCGGAATAGCGTTTTTTGAAAGTACGGCCTGTTTGAGCAATATACAATTTTGGACAACTACCACAATTTAATTTATATACCCCCGATTTATTATTAGGATTAATTTTACCAATATTATCCATAAATCCATTTATGGATAATATAGAAAATAAAATTCATAGCAATAATTTAAGTAAACATTGTCTGTATTGGCATAGATATGTTGATGATATATTGACGGCTTTTACTGGTACTAGTAGACAGTTAAATTCTTTATTAGTTTTTATCAATACTATACACCCTAATATTAAATTTACTATGGAAACAGAGAAGGATAATTCAATTAATTTTTTAGACTTAAATATTATTAAAAATAATAAAGGCCATAGTTTTGGGATATTTCATAAGCCATCACATACGGATATTACAATAAATAATAGTTCATCTCATCCATACAAACAAAAGCTTGCAGCATACAACAGTATGATCCATAGATTAGTTAATATTCCCCTTACCAAAGAGAACTTCACAAAAGAATTAAATATCATTAAACAAATAATAATTTTAATTCAAAGTTAGTAGACAACATTTTAGAGAAAAAACTTTTTAAACAGGCTATTCAACAAGTTTATCCCATAATTAAAGATCCAAATTGCAGATATAAGAGTCTTACATATATAGGAGCTCCTAGTGAAAAGGTATCATCATATTTAAAAAACCAAAATATTAACGTAGCTTTTAAAACCAATAATACGCTTGGGAAGTATATTAAAAACAATAAGGGTAAAATTAATCCTAATAATAAATCGGGGGTATATAAATTAAATTGTGGTAGTTGTCCAAAATTGTATATTGGTCAAACAGGCCGTACTTTCAAAAAACGCTATTCCGAACATTATAATAGCTATACAAAAAACAAAAATAATTCTACTTACTCAAATCATATTTTAGCTGAAAATCATTCTTTTACAGACAACTTTGAAATTTTACATGTAGAAAATAAGAGCCTTAAATTAAACCATTTAGAAACACTTGAAATAAATAGATTTAAAAATTTAGATAACTTACTAAATGATCAATTAGATAATAATAATTCACCCTTATTAAATCTCTTTCCCAGTTTTCTGTGAGATAATCCCGGTAATGGCCTATCTTATTGTTATCTGATAGATATTATAATTACCTAAGTACCCTTATTTACTTTAAATTGTTAGTTTATTTTGTAATGTTATTGATGTTTTCTTAAGTACTTTGTTTTGTTAAATTATTTCGTATATATATATTGGATACCGAATTGTAAATAGTCACATTTGAAAAAGAGGTTGTACTTCGAAACATATGTCATGTTAGTGTTTTTTTAAAAATTTTTATTTTTAAAATAAAAGTGTGAAAATCTACCAAATTTGGTTTTACTCTTTCAAAATTAAATGGAGTAAAGGCCGAAACAATAAATAATTTTAATTG